GCATCACAGTTGCTACCGTGTGTTGCAAGGAATCTCTGGAGCACCGATGGAGGTAACTGAAGAGGTTGACGTACCTATGCAGTTGTCAGACTCTGCAAGTATTACTCATCGTCCTTCTGTGCTCAATACCCGCTTCCCTGGACACATATTACTTGGAATGGATTTTCTAAGGAGGTTTTCTTTCAGTTTCCATCACAAACCGCCGCCTCGCCCCAGTTACCTGTGCATCTTGGGCTGTCAACTCGACGTAAAGTTCACGAAACATTGCAGCCTCGCCCTTGCTAACCTGTCGGCGGAACCAAAGAGTACGGTCACATCAACCCACGGATGCCCGCTTCACTAAGCAAACTGAAGTACCGCCCGATAGCGCAAGCTTCGACCGTGACAGATGCCGAGATTGAAGTCACCCCTTCAACCCTCCACCTCATAATCCCCGCAAGTGTGACCAAAGTCGAAGATCGCCGAACTGATATCTGGGTGGTGAACACGACTACGCCCGGGTCAAGTGATCGCCCATGCAAACCCAATTGTTGCAGTGTATGCATCAGACTCCCGGCCTTTGGGAGGCCGTGACCATCTCGTCTCCTCATATTCCACGACCACCACTGTTCCAGAGGTTACATTTGAAGACACCTGACGAGCCAGAGTTTCTTGGTGATCTCGAAGATGATGAATTTGAAACGGAGTTTGGAATCCTGGATTTCGGATACGAGGCCTTCATTAACTTCCCTGACACGTTTTTATACGACAGCTCGACTTCTGACGATGAAGACATCGGTGAAAGCAAGGTCAGAGTTGACGTGGTCCTGGCGGTCGATGATGTGAAGTTCAGTCATTTAACCGAACAACAGCAGGGACAATTTCATGAGTTACTCAACAGGTATGCTGATATTTTCACAGAAGATAAGTCTGCTATTGGGACTATACCTGGGGTAGAACATACCATCGAAACTGGCGAAGCAAAACCCATCGTTACACGGCAATGGAGGCTTCTGCACGCGGTGAAGCAGACCATCAAAGAAGAATGCAGAAAGATGAAGGAAGCAGTAGTAATTGAACCATCATCATCCCCCTGGCTTTCTCCTGTCGTTTTGGTGAAGAAGAAAGATGGTACACCGCGCTTCTGCATAGATCACAGGAACCTGAACAAAGTCACTACAACCGATAGTTATCCTCTTCCAAGGATTGACGAACTTATTGATAATTTCAATGGGACATCTTGGTTTACATCCTTGGACGCAAGATCAGCTTACTGGACAATCCCTGTGGCCAAATCAGACCGCCCTAAAACGGCATTCTCTAATGGCCACCGTCTGTGGCAGTTCGCATGTTTACCTTTTGGTTTAGTCACCGCTCCTCCTACCTTCCAACGTGCCATTAATTTCATACTTTCTCCAGTGCTTGGTGAACATACTGTGGCCTATTTAGACGACATAGTGGTGCACAGTGCAACATTCGAAGAACATCTCGTACATCTGGAAGATATGCTACAACTACTAAAAGCTGCTGGCCTCAAATTAAATAATCAGAAATGTCAATTTGCGACAAACACTATGAAATTCCTCGGTTTCCTCGTCACCCCTGCTGGAATCCTCCCTGAAAGCAGACAAAGTGGCAGCTATAGGATGAATGACTTCGCGCAATCAGAAAGAAGTACGCCGCTTCCTCGGGGCAACAGGCTTTTTTTCTGTTGGCACATAGAACATTATTCTGCAATCGCAGCGCCTCTTACCAAATTGACGAAGAAGCAGATGAAGTTCCAATGGGACGAAAAACATCAAGAAGCTTTTCAACGTTTAAAAGAGGCCCTCATGTCAGCGCCAGTACTAGCCAAACCCGACTTTTCACGTCCTTTTGAAGTGCACACCGACGCTAGTTGCAATCGGTGCAGTGTTGATTCAGCGCGACGACAGTGACTACCCTCGCCCTGTAGCATATTTCTCTCGTAAGTTAAAAGATCCTGAGACTCGTTATTCCACCAATGACGCCGAAGCTTTAGCTGTGGTCGAGGCTGTGAGAAATTTTGATCCATACCTATATGCAAAACATTTTACCATATATACAGATCATCGACCTCTTGTCTACACTTTCAGTCGTTGGACGAAATCTACAAGGATGAGCAGATGGGCACATGAGCTTATGTTTTATAACATAACATAAATGATTATAACATACAGTACAAACTGGGAGCTCATAACCATGTTCCAGACATGCTGTCCCGCGCCTTTGTGGAGGAAGACTGTCCGGCTGCAGCCGTTACACCTGTCGAAAATGTTGCCCTGCTGGATGAGCAAGCAGTTCGACAGGCCCAAAGAGATGACCCAACGTGGAGACTTCTCATCGCCTTGCTCACCGACGGCGCCTTACCCCCGCCAGGGGCGCCCCTTCCCCTAGACGATTTTGAGATCAAGGACGAATTGCTTTACCGCCTACGACGACTTCCTGACCGCCTGGTTCATCAGCTGGTGGTACCCACAACTCTGCAAGGCCTAGTCATCAAACAAGTGCATGACGAGGCCCATCCTGGTGTTTATAGGACGTATTGCAATTTCTCCACTCTTGCCAAATTTGTCAACGACGCAAGGGCACTGCATTACGACGGGGCAAGCTTCAGAATGCACCAGACGTCCATCACCCCATCGAGAATCATTATATCCTGACGATAATAGATCACGCCACGAGATTTCTGCAGCTAATCCCACTACGTAACCGCGACCGCCATTCCGTTGCTGACGCATTTATCATCAATTTTGCAACACTGTTTGGCCCACCACTATCATCCAGACTGATCGCGGCCCAGAATTCAATAATGCAGTCTTCTCGGCGCTCTGCAACATCCTTAATACGAAGTTCATCTTGTCGACTTTTCACCATCCTCAAGCTAATGGGATGGTCGAACGAGCAAATCGGGTAGTGAAAGATACCTGGCAGTACTGATCGAGAGGTAGCCACAACGTTGGGATGAATTTCTACCACAAGTTCGTCTGTCGAGAAACACCAGCATTCATCGGAGCATTAACAATCAACCTCTGTACCTTCTGACTGGAAATCTTGGGCCGTTCCCCACGCCCCTAACAGGTGACGCAGTCATTCGAGATTCTTCTGCTACCGACTTCCGGGAAAGGCTGACCGTCGCAAGAGAAGCTACTCTCACCGCTTCACAACGTGCCCGCGAAAGATAGAAGGCCGATTATGACTGTGCGCGGCGTCTTTCATCCGATCGTGGGAGACCTCGTGATGATCCGGAAATATAAGCCGAACAGAGGAGGAGGATCAGCAAGAATATTTACGGTACGATGGCAAGGCCCTTTCAGAGTTAAAAAACAGTTAAATGACGTCACTTTCATCGTCAGCAACGTAGAAGATCCGGCCAAAGAAAAGCAAGTTCACGTAGACCAGATGAAAGCTTATTTTGCCCCCATAGAACTCCAGCTTCCTGAAGATGAAGATTCCGAGGATGCTGATCAGGTGGAACCCGCAGACGAACCCGAGCCCATGCTACCTGTGAGCTATTTGAGAGAAGCCCCGGCCCCAGCTTGTGGAATGATTACGATTGCTGGTATTTTATGTGTTCTTGAATTTGTGGATTTACCTTTTTATTTGTTCTTTTGTAAAATATTTAATTGGTAGCTGTGGACATTCATAAATAAGGATTTTATACAGGCCTGTGATATTTCTGAAACATTAACACATTAACTTATCTTCCCCGTTCTCTCACAGGTTAGACGAGCTGAGCGAGTGACTCCATCATATGCCTCTTATGTACTCTGCAATGAGGATCCTTTGTAAACCCTTGGTGACCGTTTTTGTATATTTCCAGTAGGCCCGAACTCCTGCAATGCATATCACACTTAAGCTACGCTTGCAGCTACGCCCCGACCTTGGGAGGGATGTAGTGGAACCCGAAGAAAGCGAGGTGTCATCAAAGGGGTCCCAAGCTATTCGTGGCAAGGCTGGAAGCCTGGAGTCTCTACCCTTGTCCACCAGGGACCACCACCGTGGGGAACCTCCGTGGCCGTTGAAACGAGATTTTGTCTATTTTTACCATAATATAAATATATTTACCTTGCATTGTTGTCTTTATGTTTATTACTGCAGTCCTCAATCCCTGGAAAAAATGATTAGTTTTACTTAATATTGAAAACACATTCACCACTGAAATCTCATAACACACACACACACACACATACACACACACACACACACACACACACACACACACACACACACACACACACACACATATATATATATATATATATATATATATATATATATATATATATATATATATATATATATATATGTGTTTATATATATATATATATATATATATACATAAAAATCTACATTACGACCATAAGAAACAATATAGAGTTAAGTTTTCTTATTGATATGCTTTCATATCAACAGGGCCACGGCTGAGAAGAGCGAGGTTCAGGTTTATCTTCCGTATATGTGCGCTTTTATGCGATATGTCATGTAAAACAACAAATAGTTACTGTATATCTTATGTCATTTATGTTTTAATCTTGGGCATCTTCAGGCCCCCAAAAGTATTCCATGACGAATAATATACGGGGAAGTATCCCGTTTTTTATTTACAAAAAGTGTTCGAATGGCTTAAAGAATAATATGAAAATTTATATTAGGTTTTACATAATCATTTTGCTTGTTATGTATGTATAATTGAATATGCAGACGTAAACTTATATATCCTTTTGAAATTAATATCAATTAATAAATAGTGTCATTTTCAAAATATATTAAGAAGTGTGATCTTCGAAACCAGTATGGGAGGCGCTTAGGACCCGCACATTTTCAACTGATTTCGATAGTTTCCCTTCGCTTGATTTGTAATTATAAGATGTTGATAACTAACAACTTGTATTTATTGTTATTCCCTAATGCTACATCAGTAAAACAGTGGTTTAGTAATTGATACAATTAAAAAAAAAGTCAGATTCGTCAACTCGAGTACGATTCCTAAGAATGGGGATGGAGCCACACCTTTGGCACAGCGTAGAAGCAATGGCAGAGTTGCTGTCTCGATCGGCCCGAGTGTCGCAAATGAAAAAAACGACACTTTCTAGTGTGGTTTGACAATTTCTTGTCAGCGGAAAAGGACTATAGTGGAAGAAATATTCATGATGATAAACATTATGCTATAGCAGTGTACGAAGAGCATGGGTCTTTGAATATCGCGTGCGCGTCATACTGCCGTCATCTGAGCGAGTGTAGGTTTTGGCGGGAAACCTTGAGAATTGGTTTTGTTTACGTTCCTACGGGGAAGCAGAGATGGTGTCAGAAACACAAATTGTTGAAGATTTTGACACTTTTGGTGTCACTTTGGATGATACGAAGCTTATTGAAAAATGTGAGTGTGAATAGTCGAAGTGTAAAGGAAGTTAGTTAGATTTTAATCTTCACAACAGATATTAATGATGCTACATCTTGTTTTCCCATGTAAACTTTTCTCAATAATTTTTGCTATTTCTAGGATTATTGTTTTAAAGGATGATGGCTAACAGTTCTCCATATACATATGGTAATTGTTACCTTTTCCCAAAACCAGTGTATCGTGAACCCAAAAACCCAACTTAACCTTTCGTACCTATTTCTTTTCTAGACGGGGTCAGACCCCCCTGTACACCCATTGGTATTTTTTTTTATAGGTCCACATAACGGATCGTGATGAGTTTGGTAGAGTTGGATTCCTCTCATTGTCTAGTTTCCAAATGTAAAGAAATTATTGCATGGACATCCCCCCCCCCCACATGAAAAGCACCAGGGAAATTTCAGAGTAAAATGTAATTAATATACACAAAATCAGTCACTATGTTGTCTGTTTCAGGCGGGTATGCCCCCTGTGATCCCCCATGGGGGCTGTCACCCCCCAACCCCTGCCCAGGAAAACAAAGAATCCTCCAAATATTTAAGGCAGGAGAGAGTGTAACGACCACCATGTTGGAGCGGTGTTGCCAAGTCTGTCTAACTCTCTCTTGCCATGAATATGTGGAGTATTGTTTGTTATCCTAGGGTTTTTTTACCATTTATGACAATTGGAACTTCCCGGACAATAAATCGATCTTCAGATTTATTTCGAGAAAGAATCTGTTGCGACGAGCAATCACAGGCCAAAATCTTGAACTCCTGATAGCAG